GAGGAAGAGAATGAGTTGAAGAAGAATTTGAAGCCAATTTATAAGGATGATTATGAATTGTATTATCATGATTGTCACTATAATTACTTCGAGAAGTCGAATATTTGAGAAGAGAAGATTGGGAGTTATTTAACACGGAATTATATAAAGCACCGGTACTGTCTTTACCATTTTTAGTATTTATTATACTATGACGAATATTACGTGGTTTTTCATGAATTCTTGAATGAGAAGTGTAACGACACGTATTTGCCAAATGAAATAACATAAAAGATTGCATGTCCACAATGTGAGCATCATCATACTTTTCGAAAATTGAAGGTATTAGGTCTTGATTATCATCTAAGAAATAAGGATCGATTCGACCTTGAGATGAATAGAAAGAGTCGGAACATGCGCTTAAACAAGTATATATTAGGGATGGATAAAAGGCAGCAGATAATTCGGATTGCAACTAATTATAAACAAATAATAAATGATATTAAATATTTAATAATAATAAATGATATTAAATATTTAATTAAATATTTAATAATAATAATAATAAATAAGTAATAGTTATTTCACGTTTTATCATAGATATCATTAAACATCACGGATCAGTCGAGATATTATGCGGTCCGACTCCACGAGTCGAGTTTTAATCTTGACTCGGTCCCGAGTCAGACTTGGGACCGAGTCCCAGTAATCTCATAGTAGTCACATGATCTTGTGATTTTATTGGATACAATCAGCAATGATCGACATAACCTGTCACAGATATTATTGCATGTGACTACTACTATGAGATTACTGGGACTCGGTCCCAAGTCTGACTCGGGACCGAGCCTAGATTAAAACTCGACTCATGGAGTCGGACCGGACCGGACCGGACCGAACTTTTAACATCCCTAGGCGTAGCCACAATGATGCATGATATTGAGACTGATTCGGGATGTTTAATAATGTCGACGACAAATAGATAGGTTAGTCATGGCAAAAAAAATGTCGTGATGCGTCATTTCCGAACATAGTCAGAGTGATCTTAAACGATGTAGCATGATATCTTAATAATGCTGTAGTATATTGGTATAGTTTTCGTGTAACATATGATTTATCGAGCTACATCGATGAACCTGGAAGTGATCGCCGATTGCGTAATCGCGACATTTTTTTTGCCATGACTAACCCACTTACGACAAATACGTGTAATAACTGATTTATTACACGGATCCTAACACCCATGACTTTATAGCTATTATTTTTCACAGGATTTTCACGGCTTTTCTTCATGCAAAATAAAATTTCTTTCTTTTAAAATCCCTTTCTTGGTTATATTCTTTAAAGATAATTTACGAACAACCATAATACAATCTAAGAAAAACGACAAAAAAGAAAGTTCGCTATGAAAATATCAGCCGTGAAGATATCAACCGTGAAAATATCAGTAAAAAAAGTCATGGGTGAACAATTAGGAGCCGTGTAATAAAATGATATTAAATATTTAATAATGATATTAAATATTTAATTAAATACACAATTTTTAAAAATGATATTTAATACATACCAAATAGCTCAATTCCTCATCAGCATAAGCAATTTTAGATATATAATAAGGAGAATCGACTATTGGCATTGCATCATTTGTATCAACGCCATGTATGAAATAGTCGTAATTTCTGGTCACCGAGAACGCACCATATGGTACGAGTATGTTACCTATCGTAGGAGTGCCTATTGAACCACAGGAGCCAAAACGGATTATTATTATTTCTCCTGTTATTATTTGACGGACTTCACGAATAAAAAAGTCCATTATCACATAACCCTTAAAATTAATATTAAAGTTAAGATTTAAGACAAGAATTCTGAGAAACATATAATGAAAGATAATGAATCATACCATAACGATAGAAACAATGCTAACAGGAACATTCTTATATCGACCAGTAATTGTAATGAAACCTTTATTAGATTCGAAAATAAAGGGCTTTGGAGTTCGATCTAAGAGTTCTGCCATTTTTCGTGCACTGTCAGGATCTTCTACGACTAATATTCTATTTGCGACTTTTGGAAGATTTGGAAGAAAATAATGTTAAAATAGAAATGATGATAATAAAGTGATATTAAAAAGTGATATTATTAGTTACCTTCTCCACGTTTCAAGCCAATATGATAAACTCGACCATCATCCGTTTTTGGAAAGTTTGCATTTCTCATTTGGTGTTTCATCTTTGCTAATAAGATCAGGTTATTTTTTTTTCGTTGATTTAAATAGTGTTTAGTTAAAATTAAAATCTTAATCAGAAGATTTGGTAAAAATCTTAATCAGAAGATTTAATCAGAAGATTTGGTAAAAATCTTAATCAGAAGATTTGGTAAGATTCGTGAGCATAAATTTTAAAACTCCCGATTCGACCCGCGAATATCGAAGTAAAAATTTTTTTTCTTTTTTTTTCTTTTTTTACAAGTTTTCAAAACTCAATTATGTGAATTATGAAAATTATGAATAAAAATATTCGTTAGCGTATAATTTAGTTTTTATCAAACTAAAGTTACAAGGTTTCAGGTAAAAGAATGATTAATATTATTCATTAACGGCGTGTATGAGAGATAAAATTAACAGATCTGTTTTTTTTTGTTTTTTTTTTTTTTTTATAATGTCATAAGCGAGAACGAAAAACCGCTACTTTTTTGTTACAATATTTATATTATGTGTATTTCCAGAACAAATATTATAGGATAACACATTAATTAGTCTACATCAACATTCAATAAGCTCATGTTACACATTTAATGTATAGAATAATGAGCCAGTAATAATTTTCAATTAAAACCAATAAAAACCAATAAAAACCAATAAGCAGTCAAATTCATTTCTATTGGAATGTGATTTTCTGTGATTTTACTGGAACCACATTCATCGAAACCCGGAATAAACCATCCCTATAAAAAAATAGGCATTAAA